ATCTTAATCTCAATTATTTAATACCATAATCCAAAAAAATCCTCATATACTTAAATCTAACAACTTCATTGACTTCAAAATTTTTACACATATTTTCAATAAAAAAACTTTTTAATTTTTAATTATAAATATACTACAAAATTCATAAAATCTTAAAATTTATAAACTTATTTTTATTTTTCAAAATCAAAACTCATTGAATATATTATTAATTTTGAAAATTCTTCAAAATCCTAATATTCATCTAAATGACATAAAAACAATACTAAAAAATCTCTTCTTAATTTTTCTCTCAAATTATAATCTCGGATTGACAAAAGAACCTTGGAATTGTTGTAGGTGTGTAGTTTTATACCTAAAGGTTTGATTTTGACATAAGTTGACAAGTGGTCCACTTTAGATATAATTTTTTAATAATATAAGGTAATTTTTGCTTAAAACTATTTTTAATTTTCTTTTAAATTTATCTATATTATTTATTTATCTTATTTATTTTGATTTTAGGCTTTTATATTCCTACAAAATAAATAGAAGTCCCTTCTATAAAAGGCAGCATCAAGTCTAAACTTTTTATTATATTTCTATCATTTATCTTTTATTTTTTTTACTTCACCTTTCTACTAGGTTCTTCTATAATAACATCCATATTTTTATTTTTTTATTATATAGTTGTATTACCATATAACATCTATCTTTTCTAAACTTATACATCTTCTAATATGTATCAAATAATCCAAATCTTGTTTGATTTATATTATGTTCTCTATATCTTCATCAAATTTGTCTTCATCATTTTTGCTATTCAATTCAAAATCATCTTCTTTTCTTAAAAGAATTATGCCTTTATCAAGGTCTTAAAGTTTTGAATCAAGTTTATTATGTTCATGGCATAATTTAAAATCTTCTTTTGGTTGAAAAATTGACCAACTTTAGATATTGTATCCTATTTGGACCTCAAAGTTGCTAGATCTTCTTAAAAAAAAATCCACAAAATATTATTTTTATAAGTATGGAGAAAAAAAAGAAATAAACTATACAAACTTGATATTTTTTTCCATGCTCATATATCTATACCACCTAACAATACTTTAGCCAATATAGCTACTACATCTCAAATGGATTCAATAAAACTTTGGAATAAAATAATTTTCTAAAGACTTCAAGATTTATTGTCTAAACAATGGAATTTAAAGATAACTTACAAACACAACACATTGTTTCAAATAAAAATTCTTATTTATTTGAAATAATAAGGATCCTAATATTTGAAGCAAAACTACCAACTTATCTTTAAGAAGACGATTCTCAAACTACAAACTACGTATTTAATCAAATTCTACATCAAATTCTCTATTGTATTATTCATCTAGAACTATTCATAGAAAAAAAACTTGATATTTCTTATCTTTGTATTTTTAGTTGTTCAACATACATATATTTGAAATATAAATATAAATTACAAATAAAAGCTTAGTATAATATATTAATAGGATATAATAACAAATCAAAGGCCTATAAATATTTTGACAATAATAGTAATAAAAATTGATCTCCAAAAATGTTCATTTAGATAAAAATAAAATTAGACTTCATAGAATAGTTGATCCATATTCAAACAATATTCTACAAATTTTTTGACTCTCAAATTTACCTAAATACTGCACCATCTTTACTTCTCAAATCTACCTTTTTATCTCAACCACTAAATAAATCTTTCTTTATTCCATCTATAGGAAATTTACTTAAGCTTGACTTTTCAATATCTATACAAGAATCTTCAATTTAATAAGCTGACAATCATGAGTAAGAAAACTCAATACTACAATTACTTTTAAGACCATCTTCCAAATTTTAAAGACAAATTGTTAGACTAAAAAACTACATCTTATGTATAATGACAAAATATTTTAACATATGCTTTACTACAATAAAACATATAGAGGAGGATAATATTTCTATCAAATAAGCCTTATAAAATCTCAACCAGTATACATCAATATTACTTAAACTATATTCTATAGCAAAGAATAAAGTTTGGAACCTTGTATCTTTATCTCCAAGAAAATATATCATCAATACATGGTAGGTATTTAAGCTTAAACTAAGAGTAAATAAAGATCATCTATGCCAAAAAGCTAGACTTATTGTATAAGGCTATAAATAAAAATATAGAGTGGATTTTGACAAAGTCTTTACACTTGTGATAAAATAGTCAAATATTAAAATTTAATCAACTACATCAATATACAAAAAACATCATATTCACCACTTAAATATCAAAACAACTTTTTTTTATGGTCATCTCAGACACAAAGTCTATATAGAATAATTTCTAAGGTATTCACAATCTAACAAAGAGAATCTAATATGTAAGCAAAATGTGTCTCATATGGTTTAAAATAAAGCCTATGCATGTGATATAATTTCACAAAAAAAATCTTATATTTACTGAGTATAATTCATAGTACAAGCAATTACAACTTATATTACTTTGGCAAAGCAAACAATAGAATTATATTAGCTGTCTATATAAATGACCTATTTTTAACTAAAGGAAATTTGGGCATTATATCTTAGCTAAAGAAAAAATTATATGTTGAATTTGACATAATAGACTTAGAAAAAAATCTAAATATTTAAAGATAGAATTTAAATCCCTATCATTGTATATCTTTCTATTATAATATTGATGTTTTTTTGATATCATAAAAGAATTAGATATAAATGAATTAAAACAAGAACATGTACCTTTATCTTTGGACCTAATATTATTTAAAGATATAAAATCTCTATAAGTAGATCCTCATAAGTACTTCCAAAATATTGATAAGCTTATCTTTTTTATAACTACTAGATCCAACCTTGCATTTGAAGTCAACACAATTTCAAGTTTCATGTCAAAATTACAACAACCTCATTTAGAAGTAGTTAAACATATTTTAAGATATATCAAAAGAACAATCAATTTTGATCTATTCTATCAATACAATAACTCTTATAACATATACAGCTATACAGATTTAGATTGGACTCTCTGTCTAAAAAAATAGAAAGCCTACTAGTAGATATTGTTTCATACTAATTAGAGTAGCTATCACTTGGCAGAGCAAATGGCAATCAATAGTCACAAAATTCTCTACAAAATTAAATTATATGAGTCTCTTAATTAGGACATTTGAAGCTATATGGCTTAAGAGATTATTTATCGACATTGAAATAATAAATAACTTATTTTCTTCACTATCTTTTAGAAATATCAACAAAAACATTTGATTAGATATGCAAGCCTATTATTATTTATTCCTACATTGTGATAATTAATATGCCATCAAACTTATAAAAAATCTTGTATCTCATGCAAGAACCAACTATATAGAAATGTAATATCATTTCATAAAAGACATAGTGAAATTTGAAAAAAATAGTGTAAATTACATATCTACAAGTTTTCAATTTACATATATCTTTACAAAAGCTCTTTCTTAAACAAAATTCAAACAACATAGAATAAAACTCTATTATTTTTTTGCCAAAAATATCTTCTACAACTACTTTTATAGACAATAATATAGAAACAAACCTCTCTTACATAGTACTATTTATAATTTGGTAATAGATTTTTTTAATCTATTTTTTATTCTTCATAGTATTAATGCATAATTTTGTCATCTCCTAAAAAATAAATAGCCTTTTAATAGGATTTAAATTTCTTATATCATACTCCTAAAATCCTTACTATTTTTTCACAATCTTCTTAGTTATTATATATTCCAAAGATCACTCCTTGTCTTACGACATAAATTCTTGGATTTTCCAATCTTAAAATATTATTAATATTCTAAATCAAAAAAATAAAAAAAATAAGCATATAGCTTGTTAATTCAAATTTACTCCCACTTCAATAATCAATGCCAAATATACATTGTTCATGACTTGGACGTTGTAAGATAATAACATATCTTATCTTTCTTATTTTGTACAATACATATTTAGTAATTTAATAAAATTTAAAAATAAAATATCAAGCTATCTATGGAATATCCATAATAAGTATAAAAGATAAAAATATAATACAAAATATTATTCAATCAAGACAAAAGAAAGGCAAAGCTTATCAAAAGATCTCCAAATAATTCATCACTCTAGAAACTCCAAGCACCACTTGTATAATCACTTCAATAATAGTGCAAAGTACCAAAGCAAAAGCAAAATAGCCTCAATCTACAAACAAGTACTTAGTAGATTATTAATTTGTAAGAGAATACAAATAGACAATAAGTTATATAAAATAAATACATTACTTATTATTGAAGAATTCTAATCCATTATGAATGATATTCCCTCTTTCACAACTAATGTGATCTCCTTTCAATTGAAGTGCATGTTCTACTACTAATCCGCCTTCTCTCCAACAAAATGATTGTGAATCATCAAATTAACTCACTTGTGTATTTAATGTAAAACAAATATAATCATTATGCTTAAAAACACAATAGATGGGAAATAGTGTAGGAATTTTGAAACAAATAGAGATTAAAATGATAGTTGTAGAATTAGATTTTGTAGTCTTTGATTTTTATAATTAAGATAGAGAGCTAAGATGGAATCCTTGATTCAATATAATCCAAAAAGAATAAAATAAAATAAAATAAAATAAACAATGTAGTAGTTTTAAACAAATAAAACGTAAGGAAAATAATAGAATAGAAAAGACAAATGTTGAGAGTAGGAAGAGAAAAGAAAAGCAGAAAGAAAGAGGAGGGAGAAAAAAGAAAAGCAAAAAAGAAAGAGTGGGGAACAGAAAAGAAAAATAGAAAAGAAGAGAGAGAGGAAAGAGAAAAATAACTAAATAAAAACATAGAAAGAAAAACTAGAAAGAAACATTGTTGGCCAGATGGATGCCGGCCGGATCTCTTGGAGGAGGCTGTTGGGATCCGGGGTAGTTTTGGACCCCGGCCGGCCGCATTATCGTCTCTCTCACTTTTCTCTTTTTCGTTTTGTGATCCAGTGAGAAAGCTCCGAGAATTTCAATGTGTCTCCCTCACTTGCACGTATTGCCACGGTGTTTCTCATTGTTCCATTGAAGTGCTACAATGCAGCATCTTGTGTTCCAGTGATCAGCGTGGAGCTCCTATTTGGTGTTGTTTGGCAAGGAGGTGTTGGCATTCAAGAGTGGGCGGTGCCCTCCACAGGTCGACGTAGTTGGAGCTGATGTTCTTCTACGGCACTGGATGCTCTTTGGCGGTTGTTGCAGCGGTGTTACAAGGCCTCCCTTGCTGTTGGGGTGTGCGTTATCAGTTACATTGCCTCATAGGTCCTGTTTTTTTCGCAATTCTGCACTGTGCATCGGCAGCGGCAACTTGTATTGAATTTTCTTACTGCGGTGCGATTCAAGAAAGGAGACGCTAGCCGGGGCTACTATTCGATTCTGCAGCATCAATCATGCTGTGGAGCGTGGCTCCTTGTTGCTAGTTGCTCGTGCTTTGTTAACAACGTGAAGTTGAAGAGCCTGGTGGAAGGTGCCTTGGCGTTGGGAGTGATTCTCTTATTGTCGATGGCTGCTACTCTCCTGTCTAGATTTCGGTAGACTCGTGGCCGCGGCGTTCAATTTCAACTCCAGCTTGCGAGGGACGGGACGTACTACACCGGAATCCCCTTCTTTGAGGCGCTGAGTGGACTCCGGCCCAGACCTTCCCTCCTCTGTGTGGAGATCCCAAGTAGGACTGTTTGCGCAAGTTTCTTAGTGTTGCTGGTGGTAAAAATGCCGAGCTCAGGATTGCAATTTTAGTGGACATTACGTGACATTGCTCCACTGCTGATCGGAAGATAGAACGGAAGCTAGGAAGGATTAAGAATGTTCATCTAAAGAGAGATTCGCCGTCTTATTGTTGCATTGTTGCCGCGGATGCAAGCAAAGCGGTCGTAGATTGAGTCTGTTGTTCTCCTTCCGTTGCTCTTTCTTTTCAAGACGAGAATGTGTGGCGCATTTTTGGGGTGGAGCTGGAATTTTAGCGTGTGGCAGATGTAGCACCAATGTACTTTCTCATAAAGTATGCCGGAGTTCTCTATTCGACAACTTTGGAGGTGGTTTCGTTCACTTTCTCTATCAAGTACTACTTGAAGAGAATGTTTATATTTATGCTTCATGATTTCCGAGCACCACACAATTGACTCCTCCTCTTTGCGTGAGTGTCTGATAACATTGTTCTAGTTTCATCTGGAAATTCTGCTCATTGCCAATACTGAAGAAATTGATTCGTTGAGAATTGTTTCTGAACAATGGCAATAGGTGCGGCCTCGCCCTTTTGTACATGGTTTTCCGCAGCATATGTGTCCAGTGCTGTTGCCGGGTTCGGAATTGATGTTTTGTAGAGAGGCTTTTGAAAGCTACATCAGAGGATTGCAGGCAAAGTTAAGTCATTTCACCACATGGTTGGGTTGTTGGTTTTTACAGCAGCTGTGGTTCTCTAGTGTAGCACTTGAAGGCTTGGTGCTCAGTGGATAAAGGTTGCAACTAACTTGTAGTGCCCTGAAAGCGGACCTTGCGTAACCTCTGGGAACTGTCAATGCACTCAGGGCAGCGAAGGAGATTGTGATTTAGTCGTGGAAGATTTATCTAAAGGAAGGAACTTGTTACTTGGTTGGTAAACTGGTGCGATTGAAGACGTTGCTGCGGCCTGCTCGAACAAGAAGCTGCGGTAGCTGGTTTTGACTCCAGGTACACTTCTGCGAGAGGAGTGTATTGGGAGATTGGGAAGATCAGAACGGCAACAGTTGGAGCAAAGTACTGGGTGGGGAACTGTGGACATCGGCCCTCTGCGTTGCATTCAATTTTGGTTTTTTCTTCTGTGCGGTGAACTAGGATTCAGCACCTACCCCTCTTCAAAGACCTCGTATGTGGTGAGAAACTTGGTACAGATTGAAATTAGGATTGGACGAATCTCCACTTGGATGAGAGAAGTGAATGATGTTAGGTTAGATTTGAATGAACTTAGGTTAGGATTTAATTATGTTAAAATTAGATGTGTTCCTACAGAATGAGAATTAAATAAAGGATGAATTTTAAGTATGGATGTGAACTTATACTTGGATGATTTTTTGTTAACGAATGAATCTTAACTAAATAAAAAATAAACAATAAACAAATAAATAAAAGGAAAAAAGCCTTAAGATATGAATTTTTCTTAGTGATTTATTATTTTAAGTGTGAGTAAGTAGTAAAGGTTTTGCTTGATTGCTAGGTTGATTTAAGAGGTGTAAAGAGTCATTGATTAAGATTTGAATAATAGCTACAACTTCTAAAAAAACTACATAGTAATTCACTTGTTGTAAACTAGAATAAACTTCCAACTAATGGAGGTTTATTTACCTCACAATGGTCCATCAAAAAACTCAATTATTGTTATTTAATTGAAAATTCAACAAAGAATATTAGAATGTCTTGTCCTTAGTGGATAGAATTCATCCAATTAATCCATCTTTTGAGATTAAAACTCTCTCAATTGGCTTAATAAGCGGTGTAATATGATTACATCAGCATCCTAGTACAAACTACTCTAGTCATCTCATATATTGTAATATTTCTTTATAGAGCAATATCGCTTCTATATATTTTATTGTTTCATACATATATAAGCATGTAATTTATTTCAATACAATCATCCTCTTGTGCATTATCAATACAATCACATGAATATGGATTGAGTAAATCAAAGAAATAACCTAATTTCTAGATGGTTTTCATGATTTGTGCATAGTTAAAATGTGCTCAACACTCAACTGTTTGATTTCAAGTGCCTAGTGTCTCTAGAAGTTGAACACTATTGCAAGTCAAAAGTGACAAAGAAAAAAGTGACTTTGAGAACTACATCCAAAATTCATGTGATAAAAATTAGAGGTACTGCAAAAAGTGCAATATCAAGAGAATATATGCATTGTAATGTTGTAGCATTGCAATAATACAAAAAAATCAATTGGTAAAGGCACGCACAGGATCCCACCTCTTCTTGACGGTAGGAAATTCAGCAGACTCTCCTACTTTGTATACATTGTTAGTCTTAATTCTAAAAAAAACTATAATCTACAACTATTTTAAAATTTTAAATAATTAATTCTTAATTTTCAAATCCTTAAAAATTACAACAAATAGTTTTGTTTTTCATTTTAATAATTATTAATACTTGGTCTTAGTATATATCCACACATTAGTCAAAACAATTGCCATAGTGCACATAATGTATCCTAATAGATTACATACATCTTATACAAATAGTGTTTGGATTATTTATACTTTAACTTTTAATGAAAATTCTTATCCACAAAAATTTCAAAAACCAAAAAAAAAAAAAAAAAAAAACAAACATGTTATTGTATTTCATTGTATTTTTTTGTTATAACTTATACTTATATATAAAAAGTTGTAAGAAAATAACATTCTAAGTCTACTTATGAGTCCGAATTGCATTTATGATTTAGTCACTTTATTAGTATTTCAAGATACACTATACTAGTAGTAATAGTTTTATTTTTAATATTATTTAAATAAATAACTCTAATATATTATACTAGTAGTAATAGTTTTATTTTTAATATTATTTAAATAAATAACTCTAATACATCTAAAGAAGTACATCAAGATAGAGCTACACACAATTGCCTATCAATAAAAATTAAAGTTTAAAGATTTGTACCAACAAACTATAATGATTATCTTTGGAAATTATTGATGGTTATTGCTTATGTAAGTTATTTGAGAAATTTCCATTGTTGCAATTTAAAATATTTTTTTATAATAAAAATAATATTATTATTCTTGAAAGAAAATTAAATTGGTCCTTATAATATCTATTTAGTGGTCTTTTTTTAATCTAAATGATCTATAAGTCTTATAACAACTAAGCAACAATTAATGAGCAGACCATAACGACATAATAAGGCAACAAATTTTGAGTTCCAACTTTAATTGAAATATTCTATTTGACTCCAACAATTTAAAATATTATATTTAGATACAAATTTCTATTATTTACTTTATCTTTTTTAATAATTGAATATATATATATATATATATATATTTAAAAAATTAAAAATTTGTAAGAAATGTTTTAAAAACTTAATTATTGATACCATCAACATCATTTTTTATGCTTAAAAATAGACTAATTTATTAAATAATTATTTGTGTGCATCTCTTTAACTTCAATCTTGTATAAAATGCTTTGATTTAAGATTCTATACTTGAATGTACAATCATGTGATTAGCAAGGATATTATATTTTATCATAGATAAATTATGCATAAACAAATTCTAATGTTTTATCACATACAATTTCATCAATACATAAGAAATGTTTTACCAAATAAAAATAATAATAATATGAAAAAATTTATTTTTATGATCAAAATTAAAATAGTTTCTAAAAGAATCATTTTGAGGTATTTTTGTATTTCTTTTTTTGAGAAAATAAATAAATAAAACTGAAATTCATATTCCTTATTGTATTTCCAAAATATTGAATAGAAGCACCTATAATATTCTTTTGCCCTCTTTCATAACTACAAGAAGAATTTGTCAAAAAACTCTAATTAATATAATAGTAATTATATAAAAATAAAAATGAGGAAATAATATATATATATATATATATATATATATTTTAAATATATGAAATGTCATCTTTTGGAGGTTTTATTTTTATTTTTATCATACGTCTATAAATTAATTAGTAGCATAAATCATCTCAGTTACTTTTCTAGAATTAATTACATAAATTTGCAAGATATGATGGTGTGCATTAAAGCAAAATAATAGCTAATAATGTTTGTGATTTTTTTTAATCTTTTATTTTTTTTGCTTCTTCAAGAAATTGCATCTATTTTTTTTATTTTTTTATTTTTTTGTCTTTTAATAATATCAAATCTACACATAAAGTTTAAAATAAAGAATTAAACTCTTAATTTTTTTTATTATTTTTTTTCCAATTTTTTAAAAGATTCAGGTCCTCAAATAAAAATGAATAAAATCTTGAGATAGAATATCTCACCTACATTAGGATCAATAAAATGCAATCTTTCCATTGAAAATCTATATTAGTATGTTTTCAATGTATTGGTAATTATATTACAAATTAAATGCTATAGAAATTACTTTTTATATATATTAGCAAGTAAAACATATAAAAGTACGTGTTTTAAATATTTCATAAGTATTTTCAGCATTTTTATTTTTAAATATGTCAAAAGAAAAATATTGGTTTTGAATTTAGATTAGATTACATCATAAGATACTCCAATAAAAGAAATAACAATAAAGACCATTTCTACAAGACATTGCAATCCAAATGACATTCATGTTGGGTGTTATCTTTAATAAATAAAGATTATAATATAGGCTCTAAAATCTTATATCTTATGTGTTAATTTGTTTTACACATCCTTTATTTACTTATTCTTAGACTCTAAAAAAAAAAAAAAAAATTCCAATAGATTTGATAGGACATTGTTATTTCACATGAATATTAAAAACAATTGTTATAGTTTTTTATTTGATGAATTATACATAATAATTGTATTATTCTAAAAATAACATAATTATGATTCTATTAATGTGTTTTTATTTTAAAACTACTTTTTTTTATAAATTTTCTATTAATATTTTATATTATTATATGCTTAATTCAACTTTTTAAAGAGTA